GTCTTACACACGAATTACACATTACTCTCAAAATTTGCACAATTCATTAAAGATATAGACAAACTGTTATCTGCTTCTTCAAAATCCAAGATGGAGGAAGACACCCGAGCCACTTTAAATCAATAAAATTGAGAATGGAAATGGGGAATGTGTCAAAGAGACAACAACCCGACCATAGAGCAGACAACAGCCGAAGGCCACCAATGGGTCTTCAATGCAGCGAGAAACTCCCGCACCCGGAGGCGTCCTTCAGCTGGCCCCTAAACAAATATGTATACTAGTTCATTGATAATGGACGTCATACTAAACTCCAAATTATACACAAGAAACTAAAATTAAAAATGATACAAGACTAACAAAGGCCAGAGGCTCCTGACTGGAACAGGCGCAAAAATGCGGCGGGTTAAACAAGTTTTTTGAGATCTCAATCCTCCCCCTATACCTCTAGCTAATGTAGAAAAAACAAACGGACAACAGTACGCACAGTAAAACTCAGTTTAAGAGAAGTCAGAGTCCGATGTCAGAATAGGAAACAAAAGAAAATAAACAAAATGACAATGCTTTAAAACTCCCTGTGGAGGATAAAATTGATATTTTAATATAACGACCGTTTAATTTCAAGTGGGGGTTATTGTTTTTTCCTCAAAAATATATTCTGATCCCAAATTTGATGAAAAAAATATTGTGGTCAACCAGATGACAAAAATAAATATTCTGAATACAGATTTTCCCCATACCTAATAGTGTAAAATTTTGAAGAAAAAAAATTTAATTGATAGCGTCGAAAAACTAAAAAAAAATCTGACTCCATAACCATTATCCCCCTTCCCCAACCTCTTGAAGATAAATGGTTGTTCCTTACTAGTTGTAACTGAGTATACTAAATCAATCAAAATATTATTGAAGAAAGTCAAATGATTACTCAGCATCGCAGTATCGAATCTGCACAAATATTGAACAGAATGCATGAGTCAATAAAGACAATGATATTTTGTTTTTCAGCTTTTGAAAAGGCATTCCAGATTTTTACTTTTCCTGGAAGTTTACCTTACCTACCATGAGTAACACAACAGATTTTACTAGGGGAGCAGGATCTATCTATTCCGGATCGCCGGAGTACGTACCAAATGTTAAGGTTAATTCCGTATTGCCTAATATTCAGTTTTTGCACAATGTTTAGCTTACTGTGGTTAGTTCATCTTTTTCTGTCTAATTTGACCGTGAATTATCAGTTGTTTTTTTACCTTTTTTACAAGTTTGATAGCTCCTCTCCTCACCTTTTGAGCATTTTATTTAGTTAATGAATTACTGAAGATCAGCATACTTACATTTCCTTTTTCAAAAACTTCAAAAAAGTTTACAGAATTTTCAACTAAAAATAATCAAATAAAAATATAATGTTCGATATTTGTATTTAGCTCAATAGCTGAGAAAATTAAATTATTATGAAAAAAATAAATTTCCGAATTTTTTTATCGGGATCGTTAAAAGTTGAATTGATTCTTTGTTAGACGAATGAAATGTATCGTGGTAAAATGATAAATTTGACTATGAGGGCGATTAGCCCTTGACTCTTAAAAGATAAAGTTATCCAGCAAATCTGAACGTCCTTTGATTATTTGTTGTCATTTTAATATTAAACTCTGGGTTACCTAGAAGAGGAATAAGCAAAAACAATGTGATCTTACCTGTTTTCGTTTACGTAATAAACAAAATACGACAATATACGTTGTCTTGTCATAACAGTATTAGACAGCTCCAAACTTGTCGTTTTAAATTTGACTTTTGGAGACCACAGAGAGACATTCGGCGTACCAAATATTGTTAACACCTTTCCAATGTCATTATTTTTGTCATTGATATCAGCATAATTAGTTTTAATAGGAAGTGTATTGGTGAATGCCATCAAAACATTAGTGACATTCCTGATAAGGATTCTTATTTCCAACTTGACATTTCTCAGTTTCAACATAATATTCAACATTATAAACCTGACATTAACAGTTAAAAAAGTAAAACAAAAATACCGAACTCCAAGGCAAATTCAAAAAGGGGAAGTCCATAACAACTGACAAAATCAAACGCTATCAATCAACAGAACAAATGAAAAACAACTGCATTATTACTTACTTGGTATATGCGAAGAAAATGGTGGGTTCAACCTGGTTAGCTAGTTAAGGTTGACATAGATATTTTTCACGAGATTTACGCTGTCTATGTTGAGATTTGTAATTTCGTAGTTGATTTTTCGCATTTCTGAATTAAAATTTCTCAGCTTCAACTTGACAAAAATAAACCACAAGGAAGACTTAAACTCGATTGCGGAATCAATGCTATGTATGAGGGAAATGAGGCAGTATACGAAGACACAAAACCAACAGGCATAATATAGAGGTCACTATACAGACCTCAACAAAAGACAAGTATTTCAAACTATAAACAGTTCTAAGGTTACTTTTTTTATAAAACAAACTTTACAGAAACATATTATCAAATGTCGACCATACATACAAAATGACCAGGTTAAGCCAGTCGAACAACTCTCCTGCAAGCACATTCACGTGTGGCTGTACGTTGTATTCCAGCATTCATTAACCCTCAATTTAAAATAAATGTTCAGAAATGGATTTTTTTTCGGAAAATGCCTGTCTGTTCCAAGTCAAACAATATAAAACAATGTTGGATTTAACAAAAAACAACAATTATCCATACATCAGGTTCTAGAAAGTAAGAAAGTTTGAATATTTTTAAAAGATGTGATAAAAAGAAGAAAAATATGTTAACGGATCCAGATTAGTTATAAAGTACATATAATCGTTTTCATTTGGTAACCCCCTGAATTTTCACCTTGTTTGATTAAAGAGTATTACATATTCTGGTATTTTTTATCCGTTTCTTATAGTGTTGGATCTTTAATTTATTGATTGTTAATTATTGAAACATTTAATTTTTATGTTCTATAAAGAGTGGTGTGGTCCGTAATTTTTTCTCAGAAAGGACGAACATTTTTTTTTATCCCAAGTTATAATATTTACAGTAGGATTTAAATTTATACAGATACTGATTTTTGTCGAGCCTTCGACTTTTGTCGAAAAAGCGAGACATAGCGATCCTACATTCCGTCGGCGTCGTCGTCGTCGTCGTCGTCGTCGGCGTCCACAAATATTCACTCTGTGGTTAAAGTTTTTGAAATTTTAATAACTTTCTTAAACTACCCTGGATTTCTACCAATCTTGGACAGAAGCTTGTTTATGATCATAAGATAATATTCAAAAGTAAATTTTGTAAAAAAAAAATTCCATTTTTTCCGTATTTTACTTATAAATGGACTTAGTTTTTCTGCCAGGAAACAATACATTCACTCTGTGGTTAAAGTTTTTGAAATTTTAATAACTTTCTTAAACTATTCTGGATTTGTACCAAACTTGGAAAGAAGCTTGTTTGTGATCATAAGATAGTATCCAGAAGTAAATTTTGTAAAAAAAAAAATCCATTTTTTTCGTATTTTACTTATAAATGGACTTAGTTTTTCTGCCAGTTAACATTACATTCACTCTGTGGTTAAAGTTTTTAAAATTTTAACAACTTTCTTAAACTATCCTGGATTTGTACCAAACTTGGACAGAAGCTTGTTTATGATTAAAAGCTAGTATCTAAAAGGAAATTTTGTTAAAATTTTGTTCCATTTTTTCCGTATTTTACTTATAAATGGACTTAGTTTTTCTTCCAGTTAACATTACATAACAGTCTGCAGTTTAAGTTTTTATTTTAAAACATTTATTAGATTCATAAACTATCCTGGATTTTTACCAAACTTGGACAGAAGCTTCTTACAATCAAAAGATAGTATAGAGAGGAATATTTTTATTAATTTTTTTCCTCATTTTTGTTGAGCCTGTGATTAACAGCAAAAGTAGGCGAGACACTGGGTTCCGTGGAACCCTTACGAATTTTTTAATAACTCACCTCATTCCGTCATATGTTTCCAAATGATGTAAAAGCAACCCAAAAATAGATTTATTCAAATATCACCATGTGGCACTGTTGTGTAATCAGACTACTTGCTAATTAAGCAATAACGTTCTTTGCTGTCCATTTATAAGGGATAACTACATTTCGTGACTATAATAAATCTATTTTTATTCTCCGATTTAACTTCATGTATCTAACCAACATCTTCTTGACTCACTGTACTAGTACTTGTTTAATGCTTAAATAGTAGTTAATTGTGTCCATTGGGAAAAAAATAGTTCATATTGTATTGTAAATATGAATACTTAGCTAAAATATAAACTTATTATATACAAAATATCGTAATATTGAAAGTAAGTAAATATCTTATGAGCTACATTCATATACAAATTGTATCTAGAAATATAATAATGCTTAATTGATACAGCTTTGATAACACGACACAATTTCTGCCGTAGAAAAAAAATACTTTCATATTCATAAACATTTATTTGATTTCAAATATCTGTAAATATAAGTATTGAATGCTGTTTTTAAGTGCTATCGAAATGAAAACAAGTGAAATTCACAGTATAAATGATGCGCTGAATCATTCAATTCTAAAATGAACTAAGTAACCCTACATTTTTAAACCTTCAAGTAGTAACTTGCATACCATATGTTGATAAATATGACTTTCTTCCTAGTAGTAAATGGAGTGGAATATTTCATATCTCGTCTCTTATAAACCTTCAAATATCATACAATAGGAATCAAGATAAAAAGATAACAACCTCTAATTCATAGTTTATTATGTATTTGTAAGTCCGAAGTGCAATCAAGGGAAGTCACGAAATGTAGCTATCCCTTATAAATGGACAGCAAAGAACGTTGTTGCTTTAGCAAGTAGTCTGATTACACATCAGTGCCACATGGTGATATTTGATTTTTCGATTTTGATATGTTCAATATTTTCCACGAAAAATATGATATTAGTTACCTTATTTATTGAAAAAGTCCATATGTTACCAACTTGCAATATATTTTTTATCATACTTAAAACAGCATTGTATACTCAATGAATTCAAAATGAAGGCTTTAATTCTATTGCTGATTTTGTTTGCGTCTTGTGTGCCCTCGGAAGAACTTAAGAGGTTTGTCGGATCATCTGATGCAGGAAAGACTGATCCTATATTATGGATGATTATAAATCAACTTCAAGCTTTTCAGACGAAATTGACAAACCTTGAACATAAGGTCGAGACTAAAATGAATAAACTGGACGATAAATTAGAGACAAAAATGAATAAACTTAGTGAAAAAGACGACAAATTGACTAAGAGAATTACAGATATAGAAAAAAATATCAGTAGCACCAAACAGTATGATAAACTAGGAAAACAATTAAGTGACTTTGAGACAAAACTAATTGCAAATAGCAAGAAAATTACTGATTTGAAGAATGATATTAACATAATTAAAAAAGGTAAGTTGTGTTTATATTCAAATATATTCGTATTGTACAAACATACTAGTTACGTTTATTCGGAAAGTAAATAAATATATTGTCTGCAAACTTCTTAATTATGATACCAATTTTATGCATAAAACTAATTCAAACAGATTATGTCGAAAGTATAACATAAAAACAAGATTATACGTTTGAAAGAAAGAAAATTTGAGTGATGCTGTTTATACAAGGTTTAATAGATATAGTCATCGAGTATCCTTAGTTTGAAGAAAAACATGCAGAAACTGCAAATAAATATGTGTGCATTCAAATTCAAGATTGGTTTTTATTTTCAAATTCTTTTTATCATCTTTTGCCGAAATGTTCTGATGAACGTATATCTGATAGCATTATCACAATTACATGTAAAATTTGAACAGCTGAATTTTTTAATGGGATACAAGCAAAAATTCCTATATAGAGGTACATTTATTTATTATATACTATATAATTGTTCATTTACAGGTATAAAGGACAAGTGTACTCCTGGATGGAAAAGGTTCAACAACCACTGTTACATGTTTCGATATGACAGACTTACGTGGAAACAGGCAAAGGTATTGATTTCCCCAAATGTATTATTATAAAATAGTTTCTGTTATTTGAACCCTCATGGGAAAAAAATTGTCGCATAATTCAAATCATTTTTGTTGAAAATACCAAATTGAATGTAGTACGTCATTTTTGAGTTTAATAAAAACAAAATTTCTAATACATGTTTTTGTACAATAGACACAGTATAAAGATGTAATAAGATTGACAATAAACTATCTAAAAGAGAGCAAAGGACGAGGATGTAAACAATTAAAGGACATTGTATGTCCTTCAACAATGAGCAAATGCTATACCGTTCTGTAAGCTATGAAGAAACCGGATTGACAAAATGTGAAACAATTTAAAAAAGAAAACAAACGGCCTTATTAATGCTGAAACAATAAACCGAATAACAAATATTACAGACAACAACTAACGACAACTTCTAAATTGCGGGCTCCCGACTATAGAATGGGGCGGGGTTAAACATGTTTGTGAGCGCTCAACCATCCACGTAACCTGTGACAGTTATATAAAGGTACACCATAAGAACAAACAATTAATAAAAATACGTTAGAAAATGCTTTCTGGTAATTCATCAAATCGATTCACCTGCACTGTTAAAAAAAAACTATCTATGTAACTAACAATGTTTAACATTTACGACTACAGCATGAATGTGAGAACTACAAGGCATATTTAGTTAAAATAGAAACATCAACAGAAAACAGATGGATTAGCCACGAAATAACTGTCAGTGCAAGTAAGTGAATTTATCCAAGAGAATTCCAGTTTTAATTGAAGCTGATCTTTTAAAACAGCAATACCTCTTTATCTCATTTATCATTTTTAAAAAGTTAAAGTGGGCATACAGGAATCGCTATTTCCGTCTATATGTCCGCTCGACTATTAATCTGTCGAGCCTCTTGTTCGGGATGTATTAGATTCGCTATGCGAACAGCTTTAGTTAAAACTTGCCTTTAATTGTAAAAGTCCTGTAGGATAATACTTAATGTGAGGAAGGGGTGACCTTTAAGAAAGTACGATGTATTGATTGTTGGTTGTTTAAGTTTAGTGGAAAGAGGACGAAGTCCTTATAAATTACTATTAAAATGCTGATTTTCGCAAAATTAAAACTTCAATTTCGTAATACTAAGCCAATCAAATATCATTTATAATTCTACAAATCATTATATTACAAAACAAATCACTATCATTTAAAAAACAATACGGCACTTAGGAGAAACCCAATACCTTTGGCTTCGGGACTTACGAGTGAACAATAGATAAATCGTTTAACTTAATTGTAAAAGAATAACTCAAACAAAAACTAATCAATTCCCGGCATAATTTGTGTTTGAAAATAAACAGAAATACGAAAACATGTCTGATGTTGCTCCTGTTGTCTTATTTATCATGTTAATTTCAATCTAAACTAGGAAACACCATCTTCAATTTTAAGTTTTGATTTTTTTCTTCCTATATATACTATTATATCTTTTCATTAACAATATTATGGTATTATTACGTGAGTATTTCTGTATTGCCAATACAGCTGGCCAAGGACCAATTACAAGGCCAATACAGAAATACACGTAATGATACCTTTATTAATTAACTACAGTGTTAACATTGTTTTAATTTATATACCACAAGAGATAAACATTTTTTACCTTGAAGTGGAACTATCCAAATATGAGTTCCCATTTATCATGTTTATAAGCTGCAATATCAAATGATCTGGTGCTGTTTCCAGGCGTCTTCTACATTTTCTCATCTGATGAATTTTTCTACCCTTACCAGTCACTATAAAGTGTTACAGTTCATATTTAGACGCAACACATAAATAGTAATTGGAAAGGTACTGCCATTGCATGTATAAACTGTAATGCAGAAACAAATTATTTAAAAAAAAATGTAGGAGTTGAATATGATTGAAAGTGATACAACTATCCATGAGGCAACTGACCGAAGATTTGAACAATTACAGGTCACCCTTCCACAATGCATATGCCTGGTTCGGGTTGAAAAATAAATGACAGTTTACAAATCATGAGAAGCGAGAGTAAACAGTAAATCGGTTGAACATGAGGTCGACAAGAAATGAACTTTGTGATAAACTACGCGTTGCCCAAACCTGCAATAATTCAATTGCCTGCTTACAAAATGCTTTGTAAATGAATGTGACCGTCTTTAGCCTTAAATATATGCCACACTGAACGTTTCGGCATGTTTATGGTGAGTAAATGAAAACTGCGTCTTCCTAACGACTGTTTACTTTAAGTTTGTGTTTATCGTGACTTTCGATCTAAAAACTAGAGACGTTCCGAAATCCTGTATTGGCCGGATCAGAACTCGGCCAATACAGAAAAAATCAATATTGGCCGAGTTATTCTGTATTGGCCGAGTTGACACTTTTATATTGCATAGGCAGTTTTCATCATGTTAAGTCCAATAACATAGTAGTTAATTAATAAAATAATTTACACCTTAACACGAAGAAAATACCAAGTCAGATTATTATTATTTCTCGTGATACAAAAAAAATGCCCAATTGGTTTAGGTGGGTTTTCCCAGAAATCTCATTTGTTTGATATATATCGTATGTTCAAACATTGTAAGCACTATCTCGTTTTAAAACGGACACATATTCGTCCTCATTGTCATTCATTTTGGTAATCAGATATATACAAAATTGCGGGAAATCATATCCTATGTTGGTTCTAGGCCTGTTGTTATGAATTTTAAGTATGTAAAATTGAGAATGGAAATGGGGAATGTGTCAAAGAGACAACAACACTACCAAAGAGCACGAAACAGCCAAAGGCCACCAATGGGTCTTCAACACAGCGAGAAAATCCCGCACCCGGAGGTGGGCTTCAGCTGGCCCCTAATAAAACATGTGTACTACTTCAGTGAAAATGGACGTCACACTAAACTCCGAAACATTTAAATGAATTATAATTAAAAAACATACAAGACTAACAAAGGCCAGAAGCTCTCGACTTGGGACAGGCGCAAAAATGCGGCGGGGTTAAATATGTTTTTGTGAGATTTCAACCCTTCCCCTTTACCTCTAGCCAATGTAGAATAAACAAACACACAGCAATACTCACAGTTAATCTCAGTTTAAAAGAAGTCCGAGTCCGATGTCAGAATAGGTAACAGAAGAAACTAAGCAAAATGACAATGATACATAAATTAACAAAGGACTACTAGCAGTTACTGACATGCCAGCTCCAGACCTCAATTAAACTGATTGAAAGATTATGTCTTCATCATATGAAAAGCAAGCACAATCCCTCCCGTTACTGGTTTAGTATCATACCATCATAAAATATATGAGACGAACATAACCCGTATCATGTAAACAACTGGTTTTAGAATAAATGTGTTTATTTCAGATGTAACATTTTTTGAGTAAACAATGTACACCTCTATGGTGACCGGGGAATAGAAATATGGTCACTTGTGGTCTTCCTCCGACCTGCCGTAAAACCTTTGTCAAAGTGGGGCGTCCGTTTGACTGTGCGGGTTATATCAATGCGCAGCCACGTCTTGTCAGATTGGGAACGCTTATTCGATGCCTCGTGTAGAGAGAGTACTTCGCTCTTTCTACGCGTTAAGAACCCTTGCAACAACTTTTTGAGTGTCTAGAGGTGACCAGGTGCAAGGCAAAATTTCTGAATAATGAATAGATCACCTTAGCTGTATTTGGCAAATAGTTTCGGAAATTTGGGTCATGAAGGCTCTTTAACTTCGTTCTTTGTTTGGTCTTTTAAAAAAAATATCCGAGCGTCACTGATGCGTATTTTGTCGACGAAACGCGCGTCTGGCATATACAATTTTAATTCTGATATCCATGTCTATTTTTATTGGCAATTGTATGGGACAGCAATTTTACCAATTTTGGCCTCATTGGGTCGCTGTCGTAAAGAGATATGTATCATAATTTGTTGTTATTGTATCGATTTATCTTATTACATTTGCAATATTTTTTATTAAAGAAAGTATTTTTCATAGGATCAAGCCATGATCAGATCTGGACAGGTTTAAATGATTTGTCAAGAGAAGGACATTTTACGTGGGTGCTTGATCACAGTTCAGTTGGGTTTTCAAATTGGAATACAGGTGAACCTGACGATGGAAGTAGAGGTGAAGACTGTGGAAGCATCCATACAAATGGTCGATCTACTTGGAATGATGCGCCTTGTGCATACAAAACTGGATACATATGCGAGAAGTAACGGTAATGTATGTCATGGTGTTTTAACGTATGTCGACCGCTGTGCTATCTAACATGTGGCATCGTTTGATGATCTAATATATGTCCAGTTTTTTTACTACTAAAAAAGTACTAAAACTAGTATCGAATTTATTCGAGTTGATTGGAATCATTTGGAAAAATAAATTTAAATTATATACATGCAATCGTGTATTTCAGATGTTTCGTGTACCAAATGATCCAGACTGTGAGAAAAGTGTCTCCGTAAAACTCTTTTTGGTACATCATTTAAATTGCTCCTTGCAATATGTAGGGCTTAAGCGTATAGACAAATATATTATAACTAATAAAATTATACAAATACTACAAATAAATTCAATTCAATTCAATACAGGAAATGTGAACTCATTATTTGTTAAGAAAAAAGAAATTTACCTGCACAAGTTAAACATATATTCAAGTCGTAACAGTTCATCTTTGCATGTATGCGCTATACAAAATGTTTGCCTCGTCTAAAATTAAGAATGTCCGAGGATACCGAAAGGAAAAACTGACAGTAAAATTCAACTTTATCTGAAAGGGTTCCAACGCTAACAATTAGAAATTAAATAAATTGTAAGACATGATGTATTATTATCATGTGAATACCGAAGCACTAGTGCTGGGTATAGCTACTCATGTCAATGGAAACTTTAAGGTTGTACCAAACATCTTGACTAAAATTAATTTGGCTCGTTTAATTTTCATAAATTTTTTACAAAATATTTACTTTGACCCTTTGACAAAAATATCAAAATTTCAAAATACTTGAACCACACACTTTATCGGAAATATTTCATTTGATATATAGCAGTTTGACAAACACTAATTTTAATCATCGAGAAGTTTAATATTTCCATAGGCGGATCCAGGGGGCCTGCCCCCCCCCCCCCTTTTGTGGGAAAAATTTGGTTGTTTATACAGGGAATCATTGAAGCATGACTGGAGCTCCCTCCTTAAGGTCAGTCAGTGGGCCCCCTTATAAAAAGTTCCGCCACTGATTTCCTTAACAATAAAACGTGATTAAAACGTTCAGCTGATTTTTACAGAGTTATCTCCCTGTAGTGTTATGTAACACCTTAAATCCAAAATTCGTTTTACCACTGTTAGGCCAAGTCACGATATTCTTTGTTTAGTGTCCCCCTGCTGATAGATTTTGTATGGCCTGTGGTTTACAATCCTTTTGGATGGGCTCCACACAAACAGGAGGAAGATACAAGAAGAAGATGTTGAAAATCAGCATTTTTGTTTTGATGAAACCTTTTTGAAATCATGAAATCAGGAATTTAAAAGGATATTTGACAGTGTACTCGATGCCAAACGGATGTTCTAATGTTTGGTCTATAATAAAATTACAACATACTGAGTTGATGGTCGATTGATACAATTATGATGTCAGTTGTATACCTGTTTTGTTTATTATGGGTGTCCTGGAGTTTTTGTGTGTGTTTCTTTCTGGCTTGTTGGAAGGTTTTAAAATATTGACTTGATGCCAAAACAAACAAAAAAGTTAAAACAGCCTTATCCTGATATAAACTGTACAATTCAAATCGATAGATATTGATTTTGTTACTTTCAGAATGATATACAGTGAAAGGAAGACTTGCTTCGTCGATGGTCTTGAACGAAATAATACGAATAAACTCAAAATAAAACTACAAAAATGTTACTATTTTATTATTACATGAAATTTCCTAATTTATTTTCATGTTTATCGTTAATGCTTTTCAATTTCTTTTTGCATATAATGCTATAATTGCACCTCCTATATACCTTTTTTTCAAATTATTTGTGGAGTTTTCCGAAGCACATAATTGAATTTGCCTTATATGGGAGTGGAGGTGTCATTTTAGGAAAACTTTGCCTTATATGGGAGTGAATGTGTCACTTTCGGAACTTTGCCTTCGGTGCGCCTAGTCGTTAAAATGTAATTGCGTATCTCATTTTTTCCTGGGTTGACTTCAATGAATAATTCAAAGTAATGGGGGAATTCTGACTGCATATATCCCGTTAAACGGACGCCACCACGAGTTGGCTAACCGTTATGGAATATATGTTTCATAGATGACGGACGACGGGTATATTCCTATTGTCGTTACCACAATCCCGTCCTCATGCATTTCCTCGAATTAAATTTATCACCGGGTATGTACATGCATGAGCAACATGACGGGTGCCACATGTGGAGCAATTTGCTTACTTTTCATCTGATATCACCTCCGGATTTTGGTGGGGTTCCATTTAACAATTCTTTAGTTTTCTATGTTGTGTTTTGTGTACTGTTGTTTGTCTTTTCGTCGTTTTTCAATTTTTGCCATGGCACTGCCAGTTTGTGTGATTAATGAGTTTGAGTATCAATGTGGAATCTTTTGCCTCTCTTAAATAAAGGATGCCCCAGATACATCTATGTATGTTTCATATCTTGCAATGCTACTTAGAAACTGACAGTGATGGTTCGGTTAAAAAATCAGTGCATGTTAAAGAAGCAACAATTTAGAATCAATTAGTATATAACTGAACTTAAATTTCCGAGAAATTTTCTATATATTGTGATTCTGCATGACAACTATATTTCTGCAAGTTTATATAACCTTCTGATGTTTGCGTTCCCTGACATTATTAACTTGGTGTAGGATTGTTTGTTTCATGAATTTATTAAAACAAGAGGTCCTAATGGTAAAATCAAAGCTATGTCTGTATTATATCAACACGGAGTTGTCCCACTTTTTATTGTCGCATTGTCGTTCTCATTCTAGTTCAGCACATCCACCGATGCTGTTTTTTACAAGATTTTTACTTTTAGTCTAAAAAGAGTAATATAAGGGATTTACGTACCTTTCAGGAGCACATGAGTGCATTCCAGGTTTTTGATAGGTTTCATGTTGTCAAATATTTCGTATATTGTAGAATATGTGGACTTGTGCTAGTTAGCCTTTTTGCAAGGGTGTCGTCAGACTTTTTAAAAATTGATATCGTACCCCTTCTTTTTTTGATAAAGGGAATTTTTCTATTTTTGTAAACGATATAAGAATAATGCTAATTCAACTATTTCAAAAGTATTTACTTAGTGCAGCTTACACAATTTTCTTCAAAGCAGAGCTTCGAAACATTGCCTCAGAATGTCCGAGCTAGAAATTATTGATGTTGTAATGTGTTACTAGTATTCAAATTCGAGTATTTCTAGCTGAATAATTAAGGTGATATTAGAAGATATTACATTTAAGTTCTCGGAACTTTGTATTATATTAAAAATAACGACTTTGAGATGCCAATGTGCACTAGATGGTTGCTTGCTATATATAGGTAGGCGATAACCATCGCATTATTACTTTCATTTGCAAACCAAACAATAATTTTGTCATGTGTATGTTTTTTTGAGTACCTATGCTAAAAGGGCTAGTGTGAACTTTTCCCATCACTTGGCGTCCGTCGTCTGTCGTCCGTCGTCTGTCGTCCTTCGTCTGTTCACTTTTACAAAAACTATCATCCTCTGAAACTACTGAGCCAAATTTGACCACATTTGTTCACAATCATTATTGGGGTATCTAGTTTAAACAATTGTGTCCGATGACCCCAGTTGCCAAGCGACATGACCAACATGGCTAAAAATAGAAAATAGGGGTTTAATGCAAGTTTTGTCTCTTTTCTTGAAAACTAAAATAGATAGAGAGAAACTTGAAATAGTAAAAATAATCAGCAAGACAAGATCTACAAATAAGTCTAATGGCCGAAATCATCAGTCGACTCCTGGTTGGTATAATTGCTTTTTAATGACAATTTGTGCCATTTTTTGCCTGTTTGCCTATAATCTTAAGTACTATAATAGATAGATAGACTATTTGAGTATCAAGACAAGATCTACAAATAAGTCAACATAGCCGAAAACGTTAGTCAACTCCTTATTAAAATTACTGCTCCTTAATGACGAGTATTGCCTATTATCTTGAAAACTATAAAAGATAGATAGACACTTTAAATAGGAAAAAGGATCTGCAAATAAATAAAATTTTGACGAAATTGGTATTGAATTCTTTGTATGAGTTATTGTGCGAGTGTTTATCCTTTTAGTGTTGTGGGCAAAAAATAGATCAGCAATACTATATTAACAAAAGAGATTTCTGTCGTGAGTTATATTCTAGTCTGCAATGTCGGAGAGTGTCCATTGTTGAAGGTTGTAATCTTGTAATTGACTGCTCCATAGGCTTACATGCAATACAGCTGATCTTTGAAAATAAAAAAATAAAAAATGCTACATAGAAAAAAAATTTCATGTTCATGTTCATGTTCATATCATGTATGTACTAATGTGAAATTGTGATTTAATCGAAAAAAAAGTGGGTCATGCCACGAAGAATAAAAAGTTACGTAGCACTGAAGTCAAAACAATTTTTTTCTACTTTCTGTTTGCTGTTTTTACTAGGCTGCATTACTTCCAGTAAACATGATATCCTTCCACTTTCTTGGATTGATATCCCCAAAAAGATATTTTTTAAATCTATAAATATATATATGTTTCAATTCAGCATAAACTTTTAATCAAACAGAAAAAATTGAGTCTAGAAAAAAATTCAGAAAAAATGGACTATTTTATTTACCTCCATGTTTTGACAAGCACCGGAAACTGGAGCTGTAATACAAGACTGGTACCTATAACTATAATGACATGTCTTAAAAAAATAAATCATTTACTTAGTTTCATTAGGTAGCCATATTTGAACATAAAAAATGCCATTAAAAGAATTGTTTAGTTGTATTAATAAATATAATCCCACTATTAAAGGAGTACCCCTTTCTGAAAAAGGCAAAATTTGGAAATAAGTCATGCCTATCAAATGATCTGTAAATCTCATTCTAGTCTATCTTTATGAATGTTTTCTTATTATTTGGATACTGTGATATATATAAATATATATATGTTTCAGTTCAGCATAAACTTTTAATCAAACAGAAAAAATTGAGTCTAGAAAAAAAATCAGAAAAAATGGACTATTTTATTTACCTCCATGTTTTCACCTGAAGATGTACATAGACCAAGGTGATCGACACAGGCACTTTGGGGCCTCTAGTTTTTATTTTGTTATATCGAGAAGATAGCGTAGAAGGCAGATATTTTCTAGTTTCTGATTTATTTTATCTTCATCATTTATAGATACCAGTCTATTGCTTGAAACTGTATGTTGCCCTCTAGATCTCGCTTGGTAATGTTGTCAATACAGTGGAATTTTTATGCGACTATCATACAAGTGAGAGAGAGGCTTAGCTAGCTATAAAACCAGGTTTAATCCACAATTTTCTACATAAGGAAATGCCTGTACCAAGTCAGGAATATGACAGTTGTTTTCCATTAGTTTGATGTGTTTGAGCTTTTGATTTTGCCATTTGAAAAGGGACTTTCCGTTTTAAATTTTCCTTGAAGTTCCGTATTTTTGTTATTTTACTTTTTGGTTACTTTTGTCTTTTGTTTGCATACCCAGCATCATTATTTATTTATTCATGCAATATTGATCATGTATCAATTCAAAACAGCCTTGCAATATGTATCGTCTCCTAAACTTGGCAAACGGGATAGGGTTATACAACAATAATATTTTCTTATCCGTTTTCAATTTGGTAAGGGAGACAATATTTATATACGTTGTCTCATTCTAACATTGATTGGGGTTTATCCAATAAGTAGTCGTGTTTAATGGGCAAGAAATAAAAATAAAGAACGAAGATACAAATCTATAACAGATCGAGCCATTTGTAAAGTTGTATCTAGCAAGTGATAACTGTATCAGGTTATTTGTTCAATCTCTAACCAGGGAGTATTAAAGATATTTAATATAAAGGAAAACTCAACTGTACTCTTCAGTTTTGTAGTATTTGCATATGCCTAGAGGTATTATTGATTTATGTAAGTGAATAACAACAAATCATATCGTATTGTCTAGTTGTCGAGTTTATTCGTTTGGCGAATTACTTTACATTAGAATATAGCAAAGTACTCTCGACCAATGAAATTGTAGGATTGGATGCCTCTTAATTGTGAAGAATGAATGTAAATCATGTTCTTAATAAGGGATTGTCCTATTATTTGGGTCTATTTACAGTTCAAAACAAAGAGGTTTTATAAATGAGTTACAAATGCCCCGAAGCACATTTATCAGATTGAAGGGATTTATCACACAGTGATTGAAACTGACTAAAAGTTGAGTTGTGAAACAAACAAAAATCTCAAAATAAGTTGAAGTTTACTGGTGCAGTAAAATTTGGACCGTTTATCAGCTTGAAAGAATTTGTGATTAAAACTGACTAAAAGTTGAATTTTGAACAGATATATCATGTTAAGGATGGGTATTTGCGAAAAATACCAGTCGAGGGAATGTTAGATTCATTCTCAAGACTGGTATTTTTCGCAAATACCCCTCAAGAACATGCTATATCTGTTTAATTACACCGAATGTTTACTGGTGCAGTAAAATTGGTACCGTGAATGTTATCATGAAAATATTTATAACTTCAAATTACTATAAATTAAACGATACCAAAGCAAGCCAAAAAAAAAAAAAATCTTTCAGATAAAAAATAACCTAAATCTTTAGCTTTCCAAAACTTTGATTACTTGATCAGCGGTTGGGGAGAATAGTTATTTCCAATACACATGATACATGTATTCCGATAAAAA